GCTCGTGTAGGGTTCTGACACATGAGCGAGACCAGAACGTCGTCGTCGGATGGATAAGAAGCAACCGGAGTCCGTATGCCGAACGTATCCGTGGAGACGGCTAAGTACGGAAAAGCCCCGTTTTCTGTGACGCACAACTTGTTAAATCTAACGCTCCAGCTTACGCCACGTCATAATATGGGTCCCTTTGTGGGCCCCATGTGTTTATATTTTTTTATTTTCCTGGAGCTTTCGGTTTGTTTTTTTTTTTTGGTTTCCGTCTCCTTCACACCATTTCGTTTGGAAGAACAAAAGATCTGAGGATCGATTGAGAGGGAGGGTGCGATGGCTTCGTGGAATTCGGTTCCGCTCGAAATCGCTTACGAAGTCGTAGGATGGATCGCGTTTGCTTCGTGGTCGATCAGTTTCTACCCGCAGCTGATTTTGAATTTTCGCCGGAAATGGTACCTTCGTTTTTTCGGGAGTTTCAGCGTTTTCCGATATCTGGGTCGTCAAAATTTTTGCTTTGGAATTTGAAGTTTCGATTTTGTCGGCGTGATTTTCCCCCCTGTTTCGTGGCAGTGTTGTTGGGTTGAACTTCGACTTCGTGCTGTTGAATTTGACCAAGCACTCCTCGTATATGATCTACAACGTCTGTCTCTACTTCAGCCCTGCTGTGCAAAAGCAGTACTTTGACAAGTACGGCTATGGGGAGGTCTCTCTCTCTCTCCCTGTCTCTGTAATTGATTCCGTAGCTGAAGCTCTGGTACTGTTCTTCGAACAATAAGTATCTGACGCAACCTATGTAGAGCTGAAGTGTTAGGTCTTGTGGTTTCTGCTAATTAGAATTACTTACATACTGGCTGAAGCAATGGTCTTGGAAAATCATTACAGATTAGACGTTTTCCTAAGTAAAAAAGAATTGGGAAAAATCAGGGTCACACTTGAAATTTTGATCATTGATAGCCGGATATGCTTAGATTGTCTCCTCCATCGGTTGTTTAAGCTGCTACTTTTAACTAATGAACTTAAATTAGAGCACTTCCCATGATCAAAAGATTTTTGCTTTTGAATTCAAGTCGGAGCTGATGAACTTGTATCAAAAGTGTATATTATTTTCGTTAAAGATGAGCATCTGTGTGATTACTAGTTCAGTGTCCCTTGGTGTTTCGATTTTCTTGACAGATAATTTACCTCCATGATTCATTCTCTCCATAATACTTGTGGAGTTGCTTAAAAGTAACTTGTCTGTTCAGATGATTTTGGCAGCCTTAAGATTGAGATGAACATTAGTGTAATTTAGACTAGTTTAGTTTTTTCCTAACAGCATATAAATCTACACAATATTTCTCCTGATTCTTGTATGGTTCAACGCCATCAGATGATACCCGTTGCTGCAAATGATGTTGCCTTCTCAGTCCATGCCGTTGTAATGACAGCTCTCACACTTTTCCAAATCGTTATTTATGAAGTGAGTGAGGAAGCTTTTTTTCTTCATCTGGATGTTTACTTTGTTTTTTTTTTGTATCTTGTAACCTGTGGCTTTGTCTGATGATATTTAGTGAATTTGCAGCGTGGACCTCAAAAAGTCTCCAAACTTGCTATTGCCATCGTGTCTGTTGTATGGGCAATTGCTGCTATCTGCCTCTTCATAGCATTACCAACCCATTCTTGGCTCTGGCTCATCTCGGTTTTCAAGTAAGTTTTTTCAAAGACTGCATTTCTCAGCCATGGCTTGTCTTCTCTGAACTGAAACTATCATATCCACTCTTTTACTTCCTCCTCAAATCCTTTCTGCTTAATAGTTTTGCATGGTCTGACTGGCTGTCGAGATCTTGAAACCGTGGCATAAAACCTTTGATTCACATGTAACAAGTCCTGAAGTTGGTTAACCAAAAAAGACAGGTGAATAAATGGGTGCATAAATAAGAGGATTGGATGAAGTAGAATGTATAATACCAGTGCCTCTCAGTCTTATTATAAGACTGGTTCATTCTTGTGTATCAGTCACTTATCAGGTGAAGTATTTATAAGCTATTGAGTGGCCACCTGTTCTGTTGAAATATTGATCAGATCTAATTTTCAGCTAAGATTGAAAGAGCAACCCTTACATGGGATTTGATCATAACACTCAGAATTTCTGATTTGTGGCGGATTGGAACTAGTGTCCTGTTGTCTATGGTTAACCGATACATCACATCATCATTTAGCTATTGCAACTCTGTTCTGTTCTTGATAGTGGGTCATATTTTTCTGTCTGCAGCCAGTTGACCCTAATCCTTTGTGGATTTTGGACTTATGTCAAAGTTTCATTACTGTTAGAAGTGGGCAATCCAGTTTATTAGGTTTTAATGTTTTGGTATGGTTTTCTGGTTGCAGCACGATTCAGGTCTTCATGACAGTCATCAAATATATTCCACAGGTCCGAATTGATTCTGGACATTTGTGTGTATTCTGGCTGCATATGTATATTACTCAGATCCTAATCTGTATTCTGTGAATGTGTATTCTTGTGAAACACAGGCCAGGATGAACTTCATCAGGAAAAGCACGGTTGGATTCAGCATAGGGAATATCCTTCTTGATTTTGTTGGGGGGCTTGCCAATTATCTGCAAATGGCTCTGCAATCTATCGACCAAAGTACATAAATCTCTTTCCTCTTTTTACAATCCCCATTCTTGGGAGTAACTTCAGAGTTTTCTCATACTGAATTCCCCCTTGCTATTTCAGATTCATGGGTGAATTTCTATGGAAATATTGGGAAGACTCTTCTGTCACTGGTGAGAATTCCGGGGCTCTTTTCTTTCGGTTCTTTCTCCTGCACCTCTTCTCTGTTTCTGATCCGAGGCTCCTCTTCTTTTTACCGCAGATATCCGTATTCTTCGACATCCTCTTCATGTGTCAACACTACATATTATATCCAGAAAAGAAATCATCCAAGTCTTCAGAGATCGTTCAAGATCCCACAGAACCTCTCGTAGTTGATTCTTCTCCAGAGAATGTTTAAGGACAAAAGCCAAAATCTTTCAGGTTCTTTCTTCTGCCCTCTTTAAGTCTCTTACTCTATAGCATCTTGGGTTAAATATATACAAAATGTTGTACTACAGGATCGTGTCTGCGTCTATGTAAGAACCAGTTCTGGACAAACTCTTGTGTGATGTTAGTTTACATTGAACTCTGCCCTCTTTCGTTTCTGGATAAGGGGAATTTATATGTTTTTTTTCCTATGATATAATGGGTGATGTGTAAAGACTCGATCTTTTTTTTTCTTTTACTTGTAAGAAAAAGGAGTTTCATTTCTCAATTACTTGGTCCGGTCAGGACAACTCACTGACTTGGCCCATAAGCATGTTGTTTTGACTTGGACCATTACTTATTCTGCAAGTATATTCCGCCATTGGAGCTCTTATTATATTAACGAGCAACCTCCATCATTATGTCTTCCAAACTGTTCCTTTTTTCTCTTTGTAAATCCTTGAGCTCACGAATCGACGGCTGAGATGAAGCGGGAGGGACGGCAACACGGTATGGTGAGGACCTACCGGATTCTGCCTCCGCCTCTCAATCCACGGCCGGGGTTGACACCGGTCAACTCGTTGACTTCGCCCCCCACGGCTGGGTTATTCACCAAAGTGCCATCCAAGCCGACCAACCACTCCAAGTTCACCGGAAAATGTGGTCAGGCGAGGTGTCTCGATTGCCACTTGCACCCGACGACCAAGGCCAAGGTCAAGACCAAGGGCGAAACAAAGCTGAGGTCTTACGATTTCGCCTCCACCTACAAGCTGCTGACGTGGCGGGTTGCCGGCGGGCGGTCCGGTTCGAAGTTTTCCGGGGTGTCAGCCACCGGAATCCTTGATCTCATGTCGGAAGACAAGTACGGGGAGGATTATGATAACGATAACGATTACGACTGCGAAGAAGCAGAAGAAGAAACGAAGATTAACGGTGATGGTGGTGAAAATGATTACGACAACGAAGATGATGGGGCCCATGATGATGGTGATGGTGATGGCGATAACGATAACGAGCAGATGAGAGATTATGATGTGGGTGTAGTGATTGGTCATGTGGAAGATACTGAAGAAGAAGATGAAGGTTGGTGTTTGGTTGAAGAAATGATGATTGTTGATCTGTAAGTTCCCATCTCGTCCAATGATTCCTTGTGTGCATGTTCTGCTTTTCTTTTTTTCAATAATTCATTACTCTGAATCTGTAATCATCAATTGAATAAAATTGGATTATATTTATATGACATCATGCCGACAGGTTCGTTAAATGTTTGCCATCAACTATGATTGTTTCATGTAAAGCTTCCAACTTTTCCCCTGCAACTAAACCACTTCTGGAATCATATATCAAGAGAATGGATGCAGCCACAAAACTGTAATCCATTTTAGCACAATGGCATCAGACATGAGACAAAACAGAGGAAACCCATGAAACAGAGAAACGCAACTCCAAGACTTCTTCACTGAACATGGAGAGAGAGAGAGAGAGAGAGAGAAACAAATTCGTATAAACGAAAGCAACAACTTTCACTACGCACGTTTCCTAAAGCACACAGACTCTCTGGTGAAGATCAAATCGGTGCCTGCCTTTCCCCTACGTACAAGTTTTATCCCTAACCCGAGACAGTGACAGATTGTTCTTTACTTGACAGAAAACGAGTTCTTGGGCATTTTCAAAGCGGTTCTGTTCTACTAGCAGAAGCCTTTCAGAGCTTCTTTCCCCGTGATTTGCCCTTGACCTGAAAAACAACATGTCTTTTAGAACAGAACCCAAGATTTGCAGAAGCAAAGGGCATGTCTTTTTCTCTTTCGATTCTGGCGATGCAGGCTCTCAAGAACAGTGACATGGTTTGAAAGAAAGACAAGTTTACCTTTCTTTGTGTTTCTGTTTCTCCGAGTGCTTGAGGCTTGAAGCAGAGACACAGGGACCGTTTCTTCGGTTTCTTCCCCTGCTTTCTTCCCTGGAAAACAGGACACGAAACAAGAACTCATGTCCAAGAACTCGTTTTACTTCAGGACAAGAAACAGGAAAAAAGGAAATGAAGGGCAATGAATTACCTTTCTCCTTGTCGCGTTCTGATCTTGAGTTTTAGATTTTGTCATGAAACAGCTGCTCAACGAGAAATGGTGTAATCAGTACGACCAAAATCAATTCGATGCAAATTATAATAACAAGAGAAACAGATCTGTCCGTCTTACTTCAGGAAACTGAATCTCCGGCGAACTGGTCTTTCATCTTTCTTCGGATAAATATGATCTTCCATTCTTTCACTGCAATTTACGTTATCGAACATGAGAGATCGATCGATGTTCTCGAAGAAAAAGATTAATGGTGGAGAGATTTTCATGAAAACTTCACGATCCCTTTTACCTTGGATTCTCTGAAAATGAACTCTTTTTCGCTGCATCTGAGGTTCTTGGAAGGGGCGAAACCTCAACAGACACTCTCCAACCAGGCGAGTTCTTGGTTACTGATATTCTACCTTCGACTTTATCTTCAACAGACCCATCCTCGTTTCCAATCGAGCTATTTCTCTTCCGTTGATTATCCACATCAGGCACCATAACATCATCTGAGGCATTGTTATCATCTGGAACAACGGGCGTATGGAACAAATTCTCAGCAGCAGAATCTTTTTCCGAAACCGCAGCATCAGACTGAACGCTCTTTTTCCCGGGTGGTTCATTTTTCTCGGTACTCAACAACCCTGACCCCTCGGTGCTTGTGACTGATCCGATTTCAGTAGTATTCTGCTTGGTGGATTCTGATTGTTGATCAGGCGATTCATTTGTGGCCGAGGCCGTAGCTTTTTTGGCATCGGCTATTCTCTTGTAGTGAGCCTCGAAGAAAGCTTTTTTCTGGGCGACGGAACCTGGACGTGAGTATTTCTCGGCCTCTTCAACGTATTTCTTGTGTGAGAAACTTGACCATTTACCCCATTCGAGAGATTCTGTCGTGAATCTGCCAAAGGAGATTGACTGGCTAAGCGCATGGAGCGGGTTATCCTGCAAATCAACCACGAAAAAATAACATCTTTATGATCAAAATCGAACTGTTAGGGTCAAATCCTTTACTAGGATTCTGCTAAATTCAGCAACTTTCCATTGGATCAAAGGAGAGAGAATTGCAATGAAGGATTCACAAGAACATGTCAAAGGGTTTCACCAGCATCTCTGCACTAGTGTCTGCAACTAATCTGCTCTCTCTTTCTGATAAGCCTTGTGAATTTTCTGTTTGGTTCCCGGGAAAATCGGGGGCCTGAACAAAAACAGCCTTCTTCTGATTAAATCCGACTGTGGTAATCAAAATCATCAGCTAGAAAGTCAAACCAAATTCGGCAACGTTTTGGTGAACCAATGGCGAAAACTTATTCTAGGGCAAATCACAAAGAAAATCCATAAGCAATCGTCTAGGGTTTCACCAACTTCTCTACGCTATTTCCTGCGACAAATCTGCTCTCTCTTTGACATAAAGCGATATAAAGCCTTGTTCAAAGCTTTCTGTTTGGTTCCCGGGAAAATCGAAGCCGAGAGAGGAACTTCAACACAAAATCAGAGATTTTGAGAGGAAATACATCGACGAGCTATCCAAACTAACCCTAAAGGTAAAATTTTTCTTCCCCCCCGACATGGACCCAAAGCTTCTCCAGCTCGAAAGCCATCAAAAGTTTTTTTCCCCGGAAAATTTAGCAACTTTAAGATTCAGACATGAGAAAAGGATGTAAATTAGGGAACATTAATTACAGAACAATGAACAAACCTCATGGGGTTCATGGGAAATAGATGCTGCCGTGTAAGAAAACGAATGAACCAAATAGGCAGATTCCCCCATGCTTCAGAGCGGAATTTTCCTCCGATTTCGAGATTTTCCCAGCTCCAGAATCCTGTATCTCTCTCGTCAGCCAAACGGCTAGGATTCGAATTCAAATACGTGAGCTTAATTTTCTTTCCTCTAGTCGTTGAAAAAGGAACTGGAGTTTTCTCTCAAGCCAAACACATGTTGGGAAAGATCTGCAGAATCTGCTTTAGATCTGGGTCCCACACAAGATCTGGGTCCCACACAAGGGATAAAATCAAACCCCAAAAAAAAATATAAAAAGAAAAAATTCAAAAACTTTCGAGGATGGAGATCGTGATTTTAAGACATAAATCCAACAAGAAGAATGGATTTTGTGTTTGGTCGTTGGAATGAAGTGGTTGAGAGCTGAAGCAAATTGGAAATTCTCTGGTGGTAATGTTTATAATCCGATAAAATCGGTACCGAATTCGAGTCATTATTATACGAACGTGCTACTAAGCTATTTTTGCAACTTTTTTTTTATTATATAAAAGGGAAAAATAAAAAGGAGGATAATTTTTTTCTCCAAAAAAAAAATGATAGAAATTTTGCCCAAATTGTGCTCCAATATGATGTATATATCGTACATAGAATTCATGGGTTTCACGTTACTTGCACCAAAATAGGAGAGACTATATTCCACAAATTAGATATTTAAATATTTTGGTTTTGGATGATAAAATATGGTATTTATAGATGTTTAGATTAGGATATAGTTCTTGTCAATTCGGATTTCTTTTTTTTTTTTATAGATTTTATAATCTTAACATTTTCCCGTATTTCACCATGAAAAAATTGGGCAAAACAAGAAAATTTATCGGAATAAAAAAAAATCAACATAAAAAAGAATATATTTATGCTAATGATGAAAAGAACCCCCTTTTTATTTTTAAATCACAAACTGTTTTACAAAAGTCGTTTAGGAGATGAGTAGGTAAACACTGATGGCCAATCTATATATATAAAAGCTTAGGCATAATTTTACTTTTGTCATATAAAATAAAATTATTGAGCTGTCTTCCGCATTAAATATTATAAATTCGTTAGAATATTATATTATTGGTTCGCTTTTTATAATGTGGTGATGGGATAAGGATTGGTTGAAGGATCGACGTTGAGTTCTTTGTGTTTGTATTGTTTCTTTTTTTTGTCCCACCAACGAGACATCTTTGGATTGCAAGTTATGTCTGTAGCCGTTTGGTATAAGCACCCCATCTCACCTTACCAATACAATACCATCCAATTATAAAAAGATTAACTATATAAATTTAGATTAGGACAAAATCTAATAATGTATTTTATATTTGAATTAATAGAATTCAAATGGTATATAAAAAAAATATCAGAGAAAATCGAATAAAAATATGCTTTCTGAATGAACATTTTTAATAAAAATCGAATAAAACTAAAAGCTAATATACTATAAATTTTAAAATTTAAAATATATTGTTTTACGGCCGGTTAAGGTTTTGTGAAAGTTTTGCCGGCTTAATTCAGCCATTTAATTACTTAACCGGCCTGAACAGAAAAAGGACTTTTACAACGGGCCCACTTTTATTTTATTTTTTTCATAAAAAAGGTTCCGTTTTATTACAGTATTGCCATTACTGGAATCCTCTCTTCAAGGCATGTGGGCAAAGCCCAGGTTTGGTCAGTTTGGAGAAGAAACTGGATATAGAGATCCAATAATATTATATATACTCGAATTTATTAGATATGGCCCATAATATTAAAGCCCTACTAATATTATCATTTAAGCAGATATCAAATGGGCCCATGAATAATCTCAGCCCAATAAGAGTAATATCGGCCCGATAAGGAACTAGCCGTTGCGCGTCCTTGTCGATTCAAAAATATACCTGACCGTTGCACCAAATATTCTCCCAAAACTTTCTCAGGAACCAAACGGAGCGCAAGAATGGTGATCGAAGGGGCGCCAAGAGTCACCAACAGCCCTGGAGATGGAACGAAGGGAGAGATTTCTGGGGAGATCGGCCAGGACTCGGAGATTTTCTTCAGCCCCGGATTCAAATCGGTGGCGGAAATGGCCGGTTGGGACGAGGAGGCTCTCCTCATCGCCAGCCTTGTCGTCGAGGACACGCCCGAGCAAATCTCTTCCAAGTACAAGAGACGATCTGATTTTCTGTTCAACACCCCAACGTCTTCTGGATCGAGAAGGTACCGATTCGATTTTCTTTAGGGTTTCTTTCTTCAGATTTCAGTAACGGTGAATCGGTATCCCAAAATCTTATGTGTTGTTGGGATTTTTGGATTTAATGGGGATTTGTTTTTTTTGTTGTTACAGAAAACGGAGAGTTAAGAAAAGCCCTGTTCCCATTCCAGTTGTTGATCTCGATGAAGAAGTAACCAAAAACGAAGGTAATTAATTATGTTCCTGGTCTTTTGCTACTCCTCCAACGCTGGAACCTACACCTTAAAGTTCGGTTTATCGCAGAACTGTAACATCTTGTTTATAAACTTGTTACATCGTATGTCGGGTTTTGTGTTGGCATTTGCAACTTTTCAACTTTATGTTTGTCAAGGCGCCATTATCGTCTATGTCTCACAAAATGCAAAGTATTGACAACCAAAAAACCAAAATGGTATTGAACTTTCTGTGATGGGAAATCTGCAGAGAACGGCAAAAAGGTCCGAGTGACAAAATCGGAGACACAGGAAGAGAAAAGGGTGAGAGAGGATGAGAAGTTGTCTGAGCAGAAGCCTTCAAGTGTAGCAGCCGTAAACGACGTTGTACTTCCGTGCATAGATAAGCTACGAGAAGAACTATCTTGCGCTGTGAGGATCTATCTAATCTTGTGATTGATATGTTGTTTACAAGTATTCGTTTAGGTTTTGAATTCTTGATATGTTTCACAGATTTGCTTGGATATTTGCTTTGAACCGAGTACCACAACTTGCGGACACAGGTAAGTAAACTATTACATCAAGGAATCATTCATATGAACTTCAATGACAAGACTGAATTAGCTAAGTTTCTGTTGTTGGGTTTGGTCTGTAGCTTCTGCCAGAAGTGTTTGAGATCTTCAGCAGATAAATGTGGCAGAAGATGCCCTAAATGCCGGCAACTGATGAGGTAAACAATAAACATTTCTCTTCAATCCAGCCAGATAGAATCATTGATTCTTTAATGCAATGATTCCACAGTTGTAAATTTTAAAATGTACTGATCTCCAGTGAGGTTTTTATTAATAGGAAAATGTTTTTCTATTATAGATAATGAGAAGAATACATCATAATATATAGCAAAATATAATAGAATATTCTAGACATAATATTTAGGGTAAATCATAACAATATTAATGATAATATTCTAAGAATAATATCTTCCTATATACCCCCTCAAGATGAATCATCTATGATGAATTCAATCTTGTTACATAAAAACTGAAAACTGAAATTGTGATCGTATTAAACGAATCATCTTCCATGTGGCGGGGTAGTCCATACTTGAGTTGGTGTTGTTTGATAACGTTTGAAGAGCTTGAGAGTTGTATTCTCAGAGGCTGATGTGGCACGGATGTGCGGCGCATATGCGCGAGTTGGGTTGCGCGACAATGAGGTCGCAGCGCAAAAAAAATTGCGGTGTGTATAGCGGCTAGGCCGGAGAAAAGAAGGAAAAAAAGGGCGCAAAAGCGCGACGCATAATGCGTGATAGTCTAGCAGTGGGACAAGAGAATAAAATAAAAATAAGTGACGTAAATACGTGGATCGACGATCGGAGTTTTTCAATCGAAAGAGGCTAATAGCCATGTTTAAAGAGCTCACAACGGCTAGGGTTGACATCGATAAACGAACGTCGTTAGAAAAAAAAAAGTAGCACATCGGCTAAGGTTGACGTCGATAAACGAACATCATCGTAAAAAAAATAGCACATCGGCTAGGGTTGACGGTGATGAACACCGCCGTCGGGGAAAAAAAAAAGGCAAAATAAATTTAAAACGATACTCAAGGCGATGATACTATTGGATTTAGTATATCGTTGTCATCTTGATCGTCGCTTTCGGATTCGACCAACATCGTTGATGAGAAGAGAAAAAAAAATTAGAGCAAAAACCGAGGCTCTGATACCATAATAGGAAAATGTTTTTCTATTATAGATAATGAGAAGAATACATCATAATATATAGCAAAATATAATAGAATATTCTAGACATAATATTTAGGGTAAATCATAACAATATTAATGATAATATTCTAAGAATAATATCTTCCTATATTTATCGTCTTTAATGTAAATTTCGAACCTTTCTTCAATGGGTATGAACGGACGAAATTGTTAGCCCTAAATAAAAAAGTGTTGTGCCACTCACTCCATTTTCTACATGCAGCAATGGAAGATCATGGACAGTCAACACGGTCTTGTGGAACACGATACAGCTTCTGTTCCCGCAAGAAGTCGAAGCAAGGCGAGCCACAGGAGCTGGTGATTTGAGCTGCAAGAAAACGCCGAGCCCTAGGAACCCTAATTCTTCGCGGCCAAGAAACCGGAACCCGGAAAGGTTTGAAAGAGAGGACCTTTCGAGACTGGTAGTAACACCCGAGGCAAGGGGGAGAGAAAGAAGAAGAGGGGGGGAGGGGAGGCCCAGACAAGACGCTGACGCAGCGTTGGCGTTGCGGTTGCAGCGGCAGGAATTCGCGGCTGCGTTTGGTGACCACCCAAGGAGGACTGCGTCTCTGTCGCTTGCCAGAGCCAACCTCCGAGCTATGGCTTCTAGAGCTGTTCAGACGCAGCAGCGTAGGAGAGGGCAATGATGGTAGATGATGACAATCATTATTATCATCATCAATTCATCATCATCATCATTGTTATCATCATCGGGCTCGATGATTGAATCAGATCCAGAATGTGTTTTGTTTGCCACATGGGTTTTAAAATCATTGAAATCGTTGTGTTGTACCAATCATGCAGAACATTATATAAATTTCTACGTTTTTTTTTTGGCACCGATGAGCAATCTGCATGGTTTATTCCTTGTCATTGAAGATGCCCAACGAATAAATGAATTTACATTAAAAGAATTATTTATTCTTCTAAATAATTTTGGATAGATATCTAAAAATCAACATATATATATATATATATATATGTATATAATATGATGCATTTTTATATGCGTTAACTTAGTCGTACAGTTGTACTGCGAAAGCTGTACAGTACAGATTATAGATGATTGATTCGGGTTGACCATAGACATTTAATTTGGCTCCACGACCTTTGTTTACAAATTCGATCAATTTATGATCCAATTTCTAATCTAACATTCTATATTTTCAACTACAGAGGATTCTATAAAAAAAAATCATATTAGCTGGAAAATTTCAAAGAAGGTTACAATTATTTTCTATTTCGATCAATGATTAGTAGAAATTAAAATTTAATCATGAATTATTTGCTTAATCAAGCCGCCCAAATAAATAAAAAGAATTCACGATTATTATATTAGTATTGTTTCTTCGTTAGTCTTCTATATAAACCTGAAGGATTTCAGAATTCAAATCTCACAAACCAAAGCACCTTTGTCTCTTCTCATTCATCGTAATCAGACAAAACCAGCGTTTGCGTTTGCGTTTTCAACCTTGGTTGGCGATGAGGAAGGCCTTTGTCCAAGTCGCTGTGGCTTGTCTGATCGCGTCGGTGATGGCGACGGCGGTCCTGGCCCACGAGGGGCACCAC